ATTTCACCTCCATAGAACAGCCGCCAAATCTCGATCCACCATCAAGCAGCCAGATCCACCACCTCACCTCCATAGCACAGCCACCAACACCTCCACAGAACAGTCACCAAATCTCGATCCACCATCAAGCAACCCGATCCGCCACCGCCACTAAAACCACTCAAACATCCCCACTCACCGCAACCACAGCACGCCTCAACACCCAACCACAGCACCCACCACCACCGTACCCACTGCACCCAACCACTATAGGAGTCGCCAGAGCTGCCGGAGGTGTACTGGTACAGAGAGAGAGAATGGGGAGAGAGTGGGTTGGGGGAGAAAGTGGCGAGAGATTTAGAGAGAATGTTGGGAGGAAATTGATTAGGTTAAGAATTAGGGTTTTATACTACCTGATTTTTGCAAAAATAAACTAAAACCCTGATTTTTTAAAACGTCAAACTAAACCCCTGATTTTATATAATTTTCCCTAGAAAAAAGATGAATTATAGCCCAATACGTCTAGTCCCAAGTTGTAGTGAAAATGTATATAGGCTTAGTAATTACCTAGCCCAAATTACATCAAATAGATTTAGCCTAGTCTCACTACCAATATTTAAAAACTCTTTTTTATTTTACATATTCATTTTCAACAACACATTCACATAATAAAATATCATGCATGAAAATTCAAAATTTTTTCCTACTTTTTAATCACACACTCTTCTAAAAATCACTATTCAAAATATTATTTTTCAAAAATAATGATTGTCGAATAGGGGCTTAGTTAGCCCATTACATGTGACGGTATCTAAGGCCACGGCGTTCTGCAATTTTTTGCAATGTATTTTGAAATTTTCATAAGAGTAAAACACAATTATGAAAAAAGGGCACACGCAAAAACTGTGAAGGGTAAAAATGTTAGTAAAGTTGGACTATTGGGAGAAAATTGAGAAATTCTAAAATATACAAGGATTACGCTACGGATGTTAGAATGCTAGTTTTTTTAATAAAATTTTCAACGAATTCATGTGCCCCCGTATAGCAGCATTATCAGCACCCCATAAACAACCCTAAGTTGATGGTTGACGAGGGTAGAATTGCGTAATTTTTCATGTTTATTATATATAGAGAAATTATTTTTTGTTAACAAGAAAATACTTTATTACACAAGAAGTTTTTGGCTAGTAATTTATAAAATGCTTGTACACAACAAAAATGGGAACAATATAAAATATATTAAAAATTCAACATTATATAGAAATTAAAAAATTAAATATAAACAATGAACAAATAAGTTCCCAATCATTAAATTATGAACACAAAAATATATAATTAGAAATAACTTAAAAACTTTATTTTATTTCAAATAAAATTTAGTACTTCGAAAATTTTCAATTAATTTTCCAAGTGACCCACCAATCTAATCACTAACTCGGCAATTCAACCATTGATCTGATAGCTCGACACTTTAATCAGATCATGAGAATCGAGTCTGATAATTATGATTGTACAACAAAAAAGCCTAACATGCACACGAGACTACGAGTAACGTTGGTAGTATACATAGTACAGCTATACGCGTGGTTTTTAAATATGTTAAGAACATTACTTAACTTTTTCAAATGCCATGATGGTTATCGAATGGTCTTGAAGAATTAATGGAAAGTAATAATCACACATCAAGTGGTTGAAATTTTACTTTTGGAATTAAATTTAAAAATTATGTAATACATAATTTGAAGTCCCATTTTACAGTCTAGTACATTTGATATGCATGTAAATTTAGGATTTAAAAGACATCAATTGATTGGAAAACATGATGATACTATCATTAAGATAATGGGCTCAACCAAAAATATCAAACTGATGTAAATGAAGATTGAGCCAAATAAATAATTATGTGCAGAATGGTAACAAGAATCACCACAAATTCAGAACAGATTTATTATAATTGTAGAAAAGGACACGAAACACAGAACTCTTGAGCCGCTAGGATAAACCAGAGCACCTCAAACGGCAAAACACACGGAAAGGAAGGAAAACTTGCTCTCCAAAGATGTAGCCGCGCCACCGCCTGTCAAGTACCCAGTTCTGGGAACGGCAACCAAACATAAAAGAGAGAGTCCCACAATGTACTACGTAAAATAACTGACCAATTAAACCAACAGTAATGAAAACAAAGTTATGCCATAGTTTGCAATAATAAATTTCCCTTGCAATCGAATGAACATTAGCACATACGGTTCACTTCGCACCCTTCTTGGCAGCAGCTTTGGTAACCTTGGCACCGGATGGATCCTTCTTATCAACATTCTTGATGACTCCAACAGCAACAGTCTGACGCATATCCCTAACGGCAAAACGACCAAGAGGTGGGTACTCGGAGAAAGTCTCCACCACCATGGGCTTGGTTGGAATCATCTTCACAATACCAGCATCACCGTTCTTCAAAAACTTAGGCTCCTTCTCAAGCTCCTTACCAGATCGTCTGTCAATCTTTGTTTGGAGCTCAGCAAACTTAACAGCAATGTGTGAGCACTGGGGCATATCCATTTCCAATCTGGCCGGGGTGGTTCATAATTATAACCTGAGAGGTAAAGCTAGCAGCTCCCTTAGCAGGATCATCCTTGGAGTTAGAGGCCACATAACCACGCTTGAGATCCTTGACAGCAACATTCTTCACATTGAAACCAACATTATCTCCAGGGAGAGCCTCCTGAAGGGCTTCGTGGTGCATCTCAACAGACTTAACTTCAGTGGTCAATCCAGTGGGACCGAAGGTGACAACCATACCAGGCTTGATGACACCAGTCTCCACACGACCAACTGGGACAGTACCAATACCACCAATCTTGTATACATCCTGAAGTGGGAGTCGAAGAGGTTTATCTGAGGGCCTCTTGGGCTCCTGAATCTGGTCAAGGGCTTCTAGCAGGGTTGGGCCCTTGTACCAGTCGAGGTTGGTGGACCTCTCAATCATGTTGTCACCCTCAAAACCAGAAATAGGGACAAATGGAATCTTGTCAGGGTTGTACCCAACCTTCTTGATGTAGGAAGAAACTTCCTTCACAATTTCATCATATCTAGGCTTGGAGTATTTTGGTGTGGTGGCATCCATCTTCATAAGACAAATCATAATATACGAGATGAGTATCCATTAGCATAAAGATATTCTACATTAACGGGCTACAAGAAAATATTATTTGTTTAGCTCATTGAAAATGAGTTCACCTTGTTGCAGCAGCAAATCATCTGCCTGACACCGAGGGTGAAAGCAAGTAAAGCATGCTCACGGGTCTGGCCATCCTTGGAGATACCAGCTTCAAAACCACCAGTTGTGGAATCGATGATCAAGACAGCACAATCAGCCTGCGAGGTACCAGTAATCATGTTCTTGATAAAGTCACGATGTCCAGGAGCATCAATGACAGTGCAATAGTACTTGGTGGTCTCGAACTTCCACAAGGCTATATCAATGGTAATACCACGCTCACGCTCAGCCTTGAGCTTGTCGAGCACCCAGGCATACTTAAATGACCTCTTGTTCATCTCAGCAGCCTCCTTCTCGAACCTTTCAATGACACGCTTATCAATACCACCAAGCTTGTAGATCAAGTGACCGGTAGTGGTAGACTTTCCGGAGTCAACGTGGCCAATGACCACAATGTTAATGTGAACCTTCTCCTTACCCATGATGAATGTCTAAGAACTGGAAATAGTTAATAAACAAGCTATCCGGAAAAAAATGCAATAGAGAATTACCCAATGCACAAGATGATAAATTTACTGATTGCAGAAGAACCAAGTATACCTATCAGCAAAGAAGTCGGACAAACATGAATTTTTTGCATTTCATTTCATTGCACTTAAATTTTATGATTTAACATCGAATATGAAATTTTATGATTTTAACATCAAATATGACAGGACCAAAATAATTCGCAAAAACTTAAAAAATGACAAACCTACTCAATCAAAAACAACTTTTTGATCCAGAAATAAAAAACAAATACAGAAGATGACAGAACTTCATACACCTTTTAGTACATAGACATTGTATGGGACATAGTTAATTTTTGCAAATCCATTAAAACAATCAATAAAATCCAAAAATCCTAGCGTATAGAAATTAAGACGACTTGACCAGACACAAATGAAGTCATACGATTCAAGACTCGCATAAAATGAGATTTGCAATGTAAATCATCAAAGATACAATTCCGCACGTAATAAGAATGCAATCGTAATTATATACACTTGCGTGTGAATGATAAGAGAAACAATATATAAAACATTCATTCATTAAATTGAAAAACAAAAATCAGAGAAACGATAACATAACATGGATTTGAATATTCATACAGAAAAGAATTACTATCGAAGATGAAAGAGATGAGATCTAACCGCTTAGAAAGAGCTCACACAGAGAGACTTTTGTTAAAACCCTAGCCGCTCACAAGAGTGCAGAGATGATCGGGTTTGTGTATTCGGACATTTATATACGTGGCGGAGTTGACCGTTTTCCTTTTACGTAATTGTCCTCAAATTTGTTACAAATACAGAAATACTTCAAGTGAACGGCAGCCTTCTGAGGACGGTTGTGTCATTTCAGATTTTCGTTTTCTATTTGTTTGTACTTTAAGAGCTTGTTTGGGAGGGATTTTTAGGGGAAAAATTGATTTTGAATAGTGATATGATGAGAAATGTGTGGTTGAAAAAGAAGAAAAAATTATTGATGCGATGGAAAATATTATTTTATTGAAGAATGTGTGGTTGAAAATGAGAATTGATTTACTGTAGAAAATGAGAATAAAAAACAAACATGCCCTAAATATATATTTTTGCCCTCCAATATTTATTACTGGTCCTTTAAATTATAATCTATTTTAGATTCAGTGCTTGTTTGGGAGGGATTTTTGGGGGAAGAATTGATTTTGAATAGTGATATGATGGGAAATGTGTGGTTGAAAAAGAAGAAAAAATTATTGATGCGATGGAAAATATTATTTTATTGAAGAATGTGTGGTTGAAAATGAGAATTGATTTACTGTAGAAAAATCAAAATCTCTCCCAAACAGGGCCTAAATTTGTTCAAGGATTAACAGCAGAAAGTCCTCTAGAAACGTTTTCACGTGCAGTATACTATCTACTTATTCAAAATCGCATAAAATCCTGAGTAATGTTATTAATCCTCAATGGGGATGAAAACACAGTTTATGTATCATTAAATGATAGGCTAAATGAAAGATGAAATTAAATGACTTATTTAATTTCACATATCATTTAATGCCACATTAACGCCACATAGACTGTATTTTCATCCCCAATAGGGATGAATAGCATTACTCTAAAATCCTCTATTTGAATCCATTTGTTCAAAAAATCCCCTAACGTCAAAAACCGTCAAATTCACTACTCTAACAATCACTTTATATTTAACATTTAATTTTGCTACTACCAAAAAATATTTATTATTTTTATTTATCTTTTATTTTAACTAATTTTTCTTTAGATTATTTTATTATTTTCCTACATTGAAAATTAAAACACTTTGAATGCATTTAATTATAGAAAATGACTTTCACCCGCCAAATTTGGAAAGTCTAACCCACTTTCTAAACTAAAATGTTAATTTAAAGAGTCCCTTAAAACATAATTTTAAATGTTGACTCTTTAAAATAAAAAAGATTACATGTTTAAAGAGTCAATGTTTAAAAAGTCTCTTGGAGTCAATGTTTAAAGAGTCGTTTGGAGATACTCTTAGTCATGTAATCTTCTCTTTCTTTTCACGGGGAATTTGGGTTAAGTTTTTCATATTTTACGAGCCTATTTACTTCAAGGATAGCTCAACCCAGCCTCCCTCTCCATCCGCCTCTGATAGCCATAGTTCAACACACCCCCTTGTCTTCTAGGTATACTTCTCAGTAAAGCATTGGATCCAGAAGAATTTCAAAAGTTGAACTTATTCAGAACTTACAACTAATACACAGAAGCAAAAGAAACAGAATCAAAACAAACCGAAAATGAGAGAATCCGAAAATACATGGCTTTTACCCCAAGTTACAGCATCACCTACTGGCCTCGTATTAATCAAAGTCCATGATTTTGTCATTGCCAAAGGTCCTGATCATCTTTGCTACCTCCTTAGCCTTTCCCACTTCAACCTGCAGTCCCAAAATCACCCCTGGTGGTGCAACGGTGGCCGATGGGAAGATTGTGGACCCCGACTGAGCGTCAACAATCTCATCCAGCCTCTCCTCGCTCAGTCCAAAAGCTTTTGCAAGTTCTGGCCCTCTTAGAATTTTCAAAATAGAGTCTTCCCCAACCAAGAATTGCGGCTTATTATTGCGAGCCGAGCTGGAAAACCCGAAAAACTCAAAAGGACCAGTTCGCGATGCTATTTGGCAGAATGGGAAAAAACGCGGAATAAAGAACACGTCCCCTTCCTTTACTTCGGCATTCATGGCTAGACTTCCATTAGGAGACCCAACTTGAATTGTACCAGTTCCTCTCAACACAATTCCATACTCTGTTGCCGTGGGATTGTAATGCGGTGCCATCATTGATCCCTACATCGAACAAACAATATAAATTTAGACGATTACATTATGTATGCATGTATTTTTCCTATTTAACATCAGGCCAGCAATGTTGGTGCATACCGCGGAGAGATTGACTAGAAAAATTCCCAAATCAGATTCGTCAAGGGGCGAGTAATCGGACTTGTCCAAAGCAATGCTCCACCCATAATCGTTCTTGAAGTCAGGTTTTTTGTCGTAGATATTATAAGGGTCTCGCCCTTCGCTTGAACCTCTTTTGACCTCCCTTTTCTTGTTCTCACTTCCAAATATAGACGTCATCAAAAACTTCCTCAAAGACCACATTGGTTGCTTCTTTTCTTCTTCTTCCCCTTCTTTTCCTATGTGCACAATTCTCTTCATGTGTGCCAGCTTCTGGTGGTCTTCTAAGTTCAAGAATTTTGTCCATGGTGAATGAGAAACATTGTGAAAGACAATTGGACCGCCTATTTGCCTAGACAACAGTTCCCCTACTTCGACTATTGAAACCTGTTAACTACAATATCAGATCCTTAAAAGTGAAACGCCTCGGGTTTTAAAAAAAAAAAAAAACGCTAGCGGGTTTACTCACATTGAGTGCCATTGACAACGTAAAGGGATCAAAACCCGAAAGTACAGATGCTGGATATCTTCCACCACCGATGTAGAAAGACTGCAATCATAGAAACAAAGGAAAAATGAACTTCCCAAAATTAACCATAATGCTCATTGAATTAGTATAGAGAAATCTACCTGGAATGGTTGTAATCCCACGCTGTCCGAGGTATCGATACTGCAAATTATATGAACCCTTTGTCCCTCTGCTGTATTATTCAAATAAAAAGGAAACCCTGCACCAATTCTATATATATCTCCTGTTTTTAGATTTTTCTCCACCAATTTATCTTTGTAGATATGCCCAATTTTTGCTTGCCCTAAAGTCAGTTCATTCCAATTCAAGTTTTCATCTATTATTATGGACAAAATACAGAAGAAAAAGAGAGAAATAAATAGGTACCTCTGCGAACGAAGAGGACGAGACTGGAATCAAGGTACTGAGGGAGGAAGAGGCTTCTGGGTTCCATAGTAATGAACCCAATATGCAAAGGACTCTTTATAAATCTCCCTCCAACTCCCCTCACCACTCTAACATCACCAGCATCAGTCTTCACAACATACTCAGAGTCCCGCAACAAAAACTGATCCTGTCCTTGCCTCATCCCTGCTCCGCCCTCTTCCCCTCCACCAGCACCGGCACCACCTCCTTCGCTCCACCCAGCACCACCCTCTCCGCCTCCTGCTTCCCCTCTTCTTCCCTCATCTTCATAGGCGCCACCCACAATTGCAACCAGTGCAGAACACAGCACTACCAAGATCAGAAAACTGGATACACTTCTCTTCCCCATTATTTTTCCTCAATAGTCTTACTCAAAATACAGTGTTATCCTGTTTGCGGTGTAAGGTTTTAGACTTTCGAGGTGCTTATGTAGATAGGAGTGAGTGAGGAAGGGGCACAGGTGTCTATCATGCACGATTACGCAGCCTTGCTGGCACTTTATGGTAAAGACACAATTGAGATTATCATCACCAATTCTTCTTCCTATGATATTTGAATACGTAACCTCAAATTTTCAGTTTCGACAAAAAACTTCAATGGAATGGTAGTATAGGAACACTTGATAACATCGTCCACAGGGGGTTTACTACGCCAGGCCCCTGCAGAGGAAAAGCTTTATCCCAACGAATAGTGGTGAAAATGCCACTGGTACGTTATTTTGTTGACATTTTTCTTCATATTACAATGGATGAAAAAACTCGGCAATTTAAATTATTCAATGATATTTTGTCATGTGATAAAGCGTAAGAATGATATAAAGGATAATTTACATGCAGTGTGATTAATATCACAATACCTCGAATCACTAATTAGTATTCGAGATGGTAAGAAAAAAATAAAACGGATACGTGATCCCAGAGGATCCCGATATGAGCGACTCGAAGTTTGGCTCCTATCATATATGCATATAAGATCGTCTCATTGAAACTTATCTGCATAAAAATTCCAGACCAAAATTAGAAAACGATAATTTCGCAATTTCACGGGTTAAACTGGTAGAACTTAAAATGTGAATTTGCTCAGTTACAATGGAACTGTTCAAGTGACCCAGTGGATTATTGTAATACGAGCACAAATAATTAACTAAAACATATTCATAGACAATTCTTGTTCCACTGAGTTATAGTCATTAGTATAGAGATAAATTGCAATCCTCGTCTTCACATTTTATCCGCTTTTACACTTTTGCCTTTAATATTTATTTCTTTACATTATTGTCCCCACACTTTTTATTCTAGAATTAATTTGTGATCCAATCCCAAATATAAAAAGAATTGCTAAAAATTTACCACATTAAGCTTTTAATATTTTTCTAGTGCAGAAAATACTTAAGGTGGTAATTGTTTCTTTCACATCGCAGCCCATTTCAATTTTCTATGGGTAAAAGGATTTTTTGTAGTAATTTTTTAAGTCAAAATCATCTGGGTATGGAACCATGCTTCATGAAACTAATCCATACATATGATAGTCTGTTTTGTTGATAAAGGCAAAAATTTCAATCAATTCACGATTTTTAATGGCTAAATATTTCCGAATACACAAAACGTCTGTAAGTTTTAGCAGATTTTGATAAAAGTTAATGAAATATGTGATTTGAAGATTAATAAAAAAAAGTTGTGAGTCCCGCAAAATGTGTGTTTAAATTGAAGTTTAGCCAATTAAAAAAGTTTATAAAATCTTAGCGAAGTTTTATTAGAAAAGCGCTAAAATGAATAGTCAATTGAAGTTTGTGTTGGAATATTAAAACCAGATAACCAGCGAAAGCACAGCAAACCAGCAGCTTCACCAGATGTTCACCAGCAGCTTCACCAGCTTACTAGAACACGTTCCAGCACTTCTTCAGTTCACCAGTTCAACAGAATTCAACTCTTTCTAGTTCCTTCTAGTCTCTTCTTAAGTTTGTTAGATAGATTGTTAGAATTTCTCTATAAATAGGATAGTTTGCATTGTAATTCTTAAGCATGAATGAATGAGTTTTCTTCATCTTCCCTGCACTTCATAGCAGGCTTCTATCCCGGTTCTTTGTTTTATTTTCAGCTTCCCTTTCTGTCTGTTATTTTTGTCCATAATTTCAGCTCTAAACTTACTTTCTTTCCTAGATTTTATCAGTTTGTACTGAAAAAGTAGTCCTCATAAAACTCTTACAATCTAGTAAATCCCCGAATTTGGGTGATAAAAATGAACATGAGATTACTAGTCCCTTGAGTATTGGCAATGGGATTAATCACGGTGGCAATGAATCTAGTTTAATCAATGCATTTGTGAAGAGAACATGGGATTGGAACATTCAGTTGAGAGTCAAGAAGCTGATCTCCCATTCGTTTTCACATAGGCTACTTTTTTTTGTTACTCGGGTGTTCGAATTTCGTCCGACTAATCTTGAGTAGTTTATAGCTTCATTCCAATGTCTTGGGACATTTGATATGCACGCCAAGCTTTTGGATATATATGGTGATATTGACCAGGAACTAGACTTGCTATATATGAGTTATGAACATGCATTGATGAACTTCAATGATAGCATTGATTTTGAGAATGAGAACGAGTCGGCAAAACAATTACTCACATCGGATCATTCTATAACCAGTCTCGACATAGTGCAACTTCACAAAATTTATTTCAATATTGACCCTTCCTTTATATGTTCAAAAGACAGAATAGTCTCTAACATTACCCGCCACCCGATTGCCCATAAATATGTTTAAGGGTATTTTCGACATTTTCTTATCCCAGTACACATGTCACATATCAACAGATTTGTCCCTCTATATTTGAATTTTATTATAAACTAGGTGCAAGTAACGTACAATACACGTTTGCTTAATTTATATTTAATATTTTTGTTTAATAATTAATTTGTTATTAATAAAGATGTAATTTTTTTTTGGTTAATTAAGGGCGTGTCTGGGCGCGCTGCAAGGAGGAAGGAAAATTGATTATGTTACCTTTTTTTTTTAAACCTACAGTTTTACAGTGAGAGAATTGGTCCAAAATTGCGGCTCCCAACGACATGAATTGTGTTGCCAACGGCTTGATTTTTGCTGAAAAGCAGAAACATACACCCTATAAATAATTAATGATGTAATGTTTATGTAATTGATAAATAATTAGATGTGTGATTTTGATATTGTGATGTAGGTTGGTGAGATTGAAGAAAATAAGCAAAAGTAGACAAATTTAGAGAAATGGCTAAATTGTAAGGGATCCAAAGTTCGGGGGCTAAAATATAAATACTTAAAAGTTGTGCCGAATTTCACGATGAAGATTTGAGAGTGCTCGGAGTCAATTGGATAAAGGAAGATGTCAAGGGGATCAAATTTAGTCAAAAGATGATCACAAATCAATTTCCAACCGAAAAGTTATGCTCCGGTGTTTTAGTCTCATATTGAGACCTATTTTTGGCATAGGAAGTGATCGAATTGGAGAATGATGTCTGAATTAAAGTTGTAGCCAGATGAGTTAGCTTTCCAACGCATTTTGCATCGCCTCAATAGGATATCGGAATACAAAGTTATGATAAAAACACTGAAAGAAGGTGCAGCTGCCTGTTTAAAACAAGAAATTCCGTTACATAATCCGTTAAAACAACAAATTCCGTTAGTTTTTCCATTAAAAACAAGAAATTCCGTTACATAGCCACTTTTAATATATAGAAGATATTAGGTGCAAGTAACGTGCAATGCACGTTTGCCTAGTTTATATTTGATAGTTTTGTTTAAGAATTAATTTGTTATTAATAAAGATGTAATTTTTTTTAATTAAATAATTAATGATGTAATGTTTATCTAATTGATAAATAATTAAATGTGTGATTTTGATATTGTGATGTAAGTTGGTGATATTGAAGAAAATAAGCAAAAGTTGACAAATTTGGAGAAATTGCTAAATTGTAAAGGATCCAAAGTTCGGGGACTAAAATTTAAATACTTAAAAGTTGTGCCTAACCTCACGATGAAGATTTGAGAGTGCTCGGAGTCAATTGGATAAAGGAAGACGTCAATGGAATCAAATTTAGTCTAAAAATGATCACAAATCAATTTCCAACATAAAAGTTATGCTCCAATGTTTTAGTTTCATATTGAGACCTATTTTTGGTATAGAAAGTGATCGAATTGGAGCATAATGTCTGAATCAAAGTTGTAGCCAGATGGGTTAGCTTTCCAACTCATTTTGAATCGCCTCAATCGAATATCGGAATACAAAGTTATGATAAAAAAACCGAAAGAAGGTGCAGCTGCCTGTTTAAAACAAGAAATTCTGTTACATAATCCGTTAAAACAACAAATTCCGTTAGTTTTTCCGTTAAACCAACAAATTCCGTTAAATAGGTACTTTTATATATAGAAAGATAATGTTATATAGCACAACACCAATTTAAGCGGCTTTAAGTAATGTGCTCGATGAATGTTGTATTAAGTGATTCATTTAATTATACTTCTTATTTAATTTTACATTAACATCACATAGATTAATGTTTTAACACCAATAATACTGAATAACATTACTCGTTTATGAAAAATGCTACTTGTACAAATGATTTTAAGGGTTCACATATGGTGAGACTTTTGATTGGCTCATTTAAGTATTTTTTTTTGTCCCAAATCCAAAGAAAAGTTACAATTGGAATTTTATAATTGCATACGTTAAAATTGTCTATACAAGTAGCAGACCTCCTCTTTTATTAGAGCTAGTTTTATGCCCGTGCATTGTGTTAATTTTTAGGTAATGTTAGCGTGTCTAATTACAGTAATGTTATAATTTTTTGGAAGCTATTAATCTTCTTGCAGTGGAAATTACAATTTTCAACGACAATAGTAGTTTCTCAACCTTATTTCGATATTTCATAGTGGGTTCTTTTTAATCAAGAAATTCGTAACTGAAGGTAATGGAGCATGCTCCGACACAACTACATCATAGTGTAAGTGTTATGCCCTAGGTCCAATCAATTTTGGACATAAACACTTTGAATATATATAATCAATGCATATATATGGCAATATCTATTATTTAATTGAATTAATATTCTAATAAATTAAATAATAGAATCCGTAGATTCAAGTCTTGGTGATTTGTTAATCACAAGGAGTTGTGATTGTGAGATACAAATTACATATGACTGAATCTTAAATCGTCCGTGGTCGAAGTAATAACGAGATACGGATATCGTTATTACGGATAGACTATCGCGTGTGGCATTCTTACTTGTGAAGTAAGTAGCTGATCTCACAAGCTAAAGTGTGGTGACACTTGAATGAACACGTGGATGTTTTGTTATAGAACAAAACATTG